TTCTTCTTCTTCTTCTTCTTCTTCTTCTTCTTCTTCTTCTTCTTCTTCTTCTTCTTCTTCTTCTTCTTCTTCTTTCTTCTTCTTCTTTTCTTTCTACAGGGTCTTGCTCTATGGTCTAGGCTGGCCTTAAACTCATTATGTAGCCCACATTGTCCTTAAACTTGCAATTCTCGTGCCTCGGCCTCCTGAGTTCTGGGACACAGATGTATGCCACCTAACCCAGCTTGTTTGTTTCTTTTTAATAATTTTGGAAATAGTATAAAAATCAAATTAAATCCTATCCGTAGCAGTTAAGCAGCTCTAAAGTAACATAGATCCTAAAAACAACTGTGCCTTGTGATCTAATGGCTAGCTTCATGTGCACTACAATTCATTGCAGTGTAATGCAGAGAGGAAAATCAAGACAGACAATGTTTATTGATATAAGTAGAAAAATTAGTAAGAGTTTAACATTGTGTAAAGGTTAAGAATCACAAGAATGGGCAAGTCAAAAGGAATTCCAGATTGCATCTTGAAAAAATAACAATCAAGATACTTTAAGCACCAGCATTTCTTAAATTTCATTAAATGAAGATAAAAGTAAATGAGAAGTCAGTTGATTTATCATTATTCATTTACTAAGTAAAACTTAATAAAGGCTATAGACAAAGCGCCCCTACCCCTCAGCCACTTAGGAAACTGACTGGCATCACGTCGGGTTCAGGATCCCTTTGAGGGCAACTGACTTCTAGCTGTGACCTACTCGGCCAGGATGAAAGGTAACCAAGACAGGGCTGGGAGATAGCTCAGTGGCATAAGTGCCTGCCTAGCAAGCGCAAGGTCATCAGTTCAATCCCCAGGACCAAAAAAAAAAAAAAAAAAAAAAAAAAAAAAAAAGGTGACCAAGAGCATGGTTTTATTTTCAGGCCTGGAACGAATGCTTAACACATACTCCAGCAACTCATCCTTCTCAGATGAAAAGAGCCAGAAAGACACAGCGACATTAATGGATGAGGTAAATATTTGCACAGTGCATTTAGTAATAAAAGGAGTATTTTTAGAATACTGATTTTTCCAGTCTGTTTGCTGTTTGCCTTTTCTTCCTGGTGACAGAGCCACCTAGGAAGAGCCTACAGGGTCAGCTCCTTCTTAGGTAGTTGGAGCAATCTGGAAAAACCCAACTACCCGCAAATACTTGCTTTAATGTCTTATACAAGAAGGCACTAGGAAGGAACACTTGTGTCTGAAATGGATTTCCCCCAAGTAGGTTTTCCTCTTGAATGAAGTGGTGTACATTTTAACCCAGCAACAAAAAGTGATGGCTCTGTGGGTTACAGGGACCTGGCCAACCTTAGATTTTTTTTTAATCTTTAAAGGAGGGCCATTAATACTTAGCTCATAGAGTTTTTGTGAGACTGAAAGATTCTTTAAAAAATGTCAGCACAGTGCTTAGGAGCTGAAATGGTCCCAAATTAATGATGGCTTCAATTCCTGGTTTTTAAATTTCGTAGGAAACCATACTCATAATATCATTCTGATTTTCACTCTTAGTATTTAGTAAGTGAAGAAGGCAGGGGATAGGCCTGCTAGGCTTTTCAATGAAAGCCTGGAATCTAGCAGACCCACAGACATGCATAGGGATGATGTTAGCCACTTTGGAAGAACTTCCATTAAAAGGGTAGTTTTTAAAACTTCATATAAGGGCCAGCCAAACAGCTCAGCGGACTAAAGTTCCTGCAAGCAGGCATAAGGGCCAGGAGTTCAATCCCTGGCCCTGCTGTGCTGGCCCCGCCCTTGGGGCACTCTGAGACAGCAATTGAGACTGGAAGTGAGCACACACGCTTGTAATCCCAGCTCTTGGGAGCCTGTAAACAGGTAGATCACTATGAGTCTGATCTAGTAGTGAGACCCCGAACACCCTGTAAACCTTTCCCTAAAAAAAAAAAAAAAAAAAAAAAAAGACTATATAAAAATGAACAGATACCTATACTTACTTATAAGACATGGATTTTTTTTTTTTCTGTGATTTGTTGAATAACCAGAAAAAGATTGAGGTTAATCTGAGAATAATTCAGGAAGAGAGCAAGTTATTAGCGTTTGGAAGGATATGGGAACGCGGGTCAGCTTTCTTCTGCTGGTCTAACACTCTTGTACAGTAAGTAGCACATCCTGGCCCTGCCAGGGTGCTGCAGGGAAGGCAGGCAGCTGCAGCCAGCTCTAGCTGTTTCCTTCAGCAGAGAGGCTGCTGTAGGAACCACCCCGATGCTTCATGGGAAAAGCGACAGCTGCATGTGTTCCCTGGGGAACACAGAGCTGACACACTGGTGCGAGAATGCGTGGCTACAGTTCACAGGAAGCCATAAGACAGATGGTAGGACATTTCCTATGACAGCATGAAAAGTTTAGTTAACAAAGTCAATGCAAATCATATCTACCAAAATAAAGTCATAAGTATTTTATGATGTTATTGAGTCACATATTTCTGTGGTTGTTCTTGCACAGAATTTTATCACGCTTATTACCAGTCAAGCACATGCACTAGAACACAGAGCACACACTAGTCTGATTCACACATAGTGTGGGGAGGACCTGAGCCCTGAACTCAGAGCTTAGCAGCGAGTGCAGGGGCAAGCAAGACCTTCAAGACGTGGGTGGCGAGCATCCGGTGACTTTCTGACACATGCCTGCATCTGGGTATGGAAAACGAGTCACACTGGGAGCTGTCATGTCATCCAGGGAAGGTTTCTTGCAAAAGGAAACTTTCTTTAACTTAAATTCTTCCCTATCTTTGTCTCTTGGTCCTTGAAGTGTCATATTTGAATCAGGAATGCTGGCGAGGCACATCAGGAGAAAAGTTTCAGAGACTAAAGGCACTTAAATTAGACACTGCCCAGACACTGAAGGAGTGTGTAAAAGGAACTAGACTCATTCTCTGGTGCTTTCAGGGGCACCATGGCTCGGCGTGATGGGAGGGGGTAGAGGAGAGCTGTTGACCTTATGAAGGTGAGGCTGCCCCATAATGTGAGGGACTACACCAAGGAGTAGAGAGCTTTTCCATCATTGGAGAAATCCTGTCCTTGGACATGACCTCCCCTTCTCCCTGGCAAGGATGTTAGGGTTTAGAATCCCCATCCTGGAGGCAGAAAAAGAAAGAGAAAGAATAGTGAGAAGGCGGTCAGATCATCAGGATCCTACTTTAGATTCTGCTGCTTCACTCTGACTGAACGAAGCCTGACAAAAAAGTACTAATAAAGTTGTAGTTCAAGGTCAAAACAAGAATAGGGAGAGAACAGGAGTTTATGTTCAAATTCACTCCTTATTTTTATTTGAGACAGCTTGGCTTTGTAGCCCAGGCTGCCCTCAAACTCATAATCCTCCTGCCTCAACCTCCTGAGTGCTGGAGTTACAGGCCCGTGTCACCACGGTTGACAGATATTCCTTATTTTTAGAATCAAATACACTAGAATATTCTTTTCAGTTTTGAGAGTTTTACTGCAAACTTTCTGCAGAATATAACTCTCTACCTCCTCAAAGGAAAGGGAAAACAAAACAACCCCCATCTGTTGTTGTTTGATTCTGCTGATGTTAAACCCAGTTATTAAAATACTGAGCTGATTCAGTCACCCTGAAAGTGCCATGGAAAACGCACCTTTAGGATCAACACTTACTATTTCCTTTCTTGTAGCCACTTGAAATTGCATAAAGCTATTCATTGCCACAAAATACCAAGTAAGTTAGGTTTCTTCACCCTATGTACAAGAGGACAACGGAGGACATGCTCAATTATTAAGGCCTTTGTCCTAACTGCTTCAAGGGGTATTTTTAAGTTTTTATTCTCAGCATTTTGGGTCCACATCTATACACAGGTGAGTGTCCTTTTCTAGGCTTGTCATTCTGCAAGTTATGCCAATAGTCCTCTGTCTACCCAGTTGTGCCTCATTTTCTAGAAATTTTCTCACATGGGCAAATGATATATCCACAGAACAATTTGAAACTAGATCTTCTGCAAGCAAACTCTTATAAACTGTCATCAGTATTAGCAGAACTCGAGCAAAGAACGAAACCCAGCCATCCCTGCAGTAACTCCATCTTCAAGTGGAAAGAAAAGGTAAAATAGAAGAGATTGGCTGAAATGTCTCAACTGTGCTCAGTAGGTAGAGAGGTGTAAAGTGGCCGCGAGGCAAAGAAGCTGTTATGAGTCAAATGTGCAGTGTGTCCCAAATCCTTCTTGCAGAATTTTAAAACAAATTTATCATATTCATGTAAAGCACAATAAGATTTAAATAAAACTGAATACATTCTTTGTAGACTAAATACTACAATGAGTGTAAAGCACTTTGGGTTTTTTCTTTCTCTTCATAGCTTAACTTTAGCCTTCGAATGTTTTTATAATAAAAGTTCTATTACACTGAAACTTTAGTATTTATACAGACCTAAATTGTAAGACTTTGTGATATGCATTTGTCTCAGTTTAAACTCAGAGTGCACAGCTGAACACAGTACATCCTTAGATGATGTATACATACAGGTGCAGAAATTCCTGCTCTCTCGTATCCTTCCAGTGTGGAATATTTCAGGGACTGAAATATTGATCTGTTGATGATCAGCTAGTGATGACCTATGATGGACAGCTATTCCTTGCAACTGTTTTCTGTTGCCAAACTGAAGTGGAAGCTGTAACTGTCTTGTGGTATGAAGGCACAGTATTCTTTCGAAGAGATTCCAAAGCTCTAAAATGGTCTCATCTGGGCCTGGAATAAAGCTCAGTGGCATAAGCACCTGCCTGGCAAGTGCAAGGTCCTGAGTTCAATCCCTGGTACCACAAAAAAATTAATAATAATAAATAAATTAAATGGTCTCCTGTAGACAATGATCATTTTACTTGCTTAAAGCTCATTAAAGTGGAATTAGAATTAATGCTGTAGGGGGCTAGGGAGATAGTTCAGCAGCACAAGCGCCTGCCTGGAAAGCACCAGGGCCTGAGTTCAATCCCCAGTACTGAAAAAAAAAAAAAAAATTAGAAAAACAAGAAGTAATGCTATGAATGTTATGATTTAGTGTAGATATGTTGATCTAAATTAGAAGTACAGACTATACAATACTGTAACTGTCTAATTCTGAAAATAGCAAGCCTTCTGAATTGGAGAACTTAAACATAGGAAAGGTTAGGAATGTACTGAATGATGTGTATAACTTTTTTTTTGGAGCCAGGGATCAAACTCAGGATTTTGTGCTTTCCGGCCAGGTGCTAATGCCACTGAACTGTCTCCATGGCAATTTGCATAACTTTTGCCCAATTCAAAAAAATGGATTCTTGAGTTATTTTTTATGACTACATTATGATAATAAGGTTGTTTAACATGACTTTTTCTTTCTTTAACTATTTGAACAGGAGCATACTCATACTTATGTAAAGATATCTCGGCCTTTTCTGACAAAGAGATTAGAGAACGTTTTGAGTAGGACATCTTCCCATGGGCAGAATAATCCAAGTTCTTCCTCTTCAGGTAACCCGATGCCCAGAATCATGTTGGGTTGAGTCTTCTTTGTAAAGCACATTGCTACATTTACATGCTGTTTTCAGAACCCCATTGACTTATATTTGCTCAAAGACATTTACCTTTCAGTTGGGACTAATTAAACTTGTTAGAATCTTGACTTTTGTGTACAGCAGTAACACAGAGGTAGAGAGGAATCAAGAAGAGTGGGTGCTGGGAAAAACATTTATCACAAGCGAAAGTCACTGCAAGTGCCGGCAGAGGGCGCCTCACACCCCTGCCACCTGCTGGTCACAGGGTCGCCTGCACCCACGTGAGGAGTTGTGGCTCTGCCTCCAAGCCCCTCCTAAACTTCTGTAGATGTTCCGTCTTCTCAGCAGGAAGTACCATGACAAGATGGTTTGCCAGGCGACTTGGGCTTGGAACTCATGACCTACTCATCTTCATATTAAAAATTCACCTTTGCATTAAGAACAGAACCAAAAGCACTAAAAAATCAACGAGAAACACATGCTTCACATAGCCCCGTCTTTACCTGAATGGTAAAATGACTGCAGTTTCTTTCCTAACACACATGCAACTAATCATGCTAGGATCACCTGGAAAAAAAAAAATTTAAATAACCATCTTCACAGCTATCATGACAATAACATTCTTCTACAGACTTATTATTTCCTACATTACAGTATGGATTTGGGCTATATAATGTAAACAATCTTTACACATAGTAAGTATATCATGAATGCTTATTAAGTTGAGGAATGAATAGTAGGTAAAATTATAAGCTTTCCTTTTGAGAAAATTTCCATATATTTCAACTCTGCACCATGCTGTTAAATAAGAAGAGTTCATGATCCTACTTTTTCACCTACTAACGCAGCATACTAATTACAATTTAATCCAACTTTTAGCTTCCAGTGCAGCCCAGGATGGCAACTGTCTCTGCAAGGCCTTATATTCTTTTCAAGCCAGGCAAGATGATGAGTTGAATTTGGAGAAAGGTAAGATGCATTCTCAGGTTTTTTAATAACATTCCATGGTAAGATCTCTGATATGAATATCAAGTCATGTCTTTCAACAACAGCCTAAACTTCTAACACCAGATCTGTTGAGATGTTACAATCACCCTTCTTAGAAGATAAAGCCTTGGGAAGCTACACAAAGCTCACATAATGATCACAGCTACCAGTTGTCATGTTTCACAGTACCCGACATTGCAAGCATAGTCCAATGTAATATCCATTAAAAACTCAGGGATGCATATTGTTCTTAACTCTCATCTCACAGCTGAGCAGGCTGAGGCACAGAAAAGCTAAGTGCTTTGGGTGAAGGCCTTCCTAGGTAGTGGTGGCACAGGATTGGAACTCAGAAACTCAGTTATGCCTTTGATCACAGTGCTACCCTGTGGCCAACTGTCAAAAATGGGAAAGTGTCGGAGCGCAGCTCCACCTTTACATAAAGGACTTCTCCTGAGTTGGTGGAAGAGGAAGTTCCAGCACCGGGGCAGCTGACCCTCAGCTTAATGATTGGGCCAGGACCTCTCTGGAAAGTGTATCATGGCCAGTCTAAAGATTCGACCCCTTCCTTTTATCGCAGATTTTTATCTAGTGGAGGAAAGTTGTCATGTTATGGGTATAGAAGACTCTGGAAATGAAGGCCTTGAGAGAAAGCATTGTGTGGGAGGAGAAACCTTAGTATCCATCATCAGGATGTCTCTCAGTCAATGGAAAGTCAATATGGATTTTGTAGCTAAATGGGTATTCCAAGTTTTAGTATTGTTCAATGGAACCTTCTTTTTCAGTGTGTCAAATTTGTCTAGACAATTATTTTTTCTTCTCTGTGAATAAAAATCACTTTTTGGATGCCACCTAAAACTCAGGGGTCTTGAGTTAGAGTGTTCAGTAAATGGGTTATCCTGTTTGTTTTCATTCTTTTTGTGTGTGTTAGGAATCAAACTCAGGACCTTGAGCTTACCTGGCAGCCACTGTGCCACTGAGCTACACTCCTGGTCGTTTTCAGTTCTTGGTGGTTTGCAAAGGCCACTGTGCTTTACATTCTAAATGATTTCGTTCAATAAAACAAGACACTGGAGGTTGAGGGAAGCTAGCAATGTAAATTCAAACTAGTTTTTAAAAATCCCTGTTAATAAATTTTGTCCAACAATCTACTGACCTCAGAAAACTCTTCAGAGGAAGAACCCAGACTGAGAAAATTGCCTACAAGAATAAATAGTGGGCTGGGGAGATGGCTCAGTGGTCTAAGCGCCTGCCTGGCAAGCACAAAGACCTGAGTTTGATCCCTGGTACTACATGCCGTGCCAGCCCCAAAACCCGGTGTGGTGGCATACACCTGTAATCCCAGTGCTGGAGAGGATGAGACAAGAGAATCAGTGTGAGTCTGAGCTGCATAGTGAGACCCTGTATCCAATTAATTTATTACAAAAGAATAGTGATTAATGACTGAGAAAAGATGTAAAGGTATTACTGTCACCTTCACTTGGAGAACTGTTGAAGAAAAGTAAATGTAAGACTAAAATCTTAGCTCAGAATGATGTTAAAGAAAGGTAGATCTTTGTTTCCTAAAGAAAGTGGATGTTTCTATTTTGATATACAGGAAATACCAGAGAGAAAGGATTATCTCACAAGAGAAGGGGGGCATCAAGTTAAGTTTTAAGGTGATTGATACTACAATTCTTTCAAAATAAGAAAATTGGATGGCAGTTGCGTTTCTTAGGGATGCTATTTGGATTATTGCTTTTAAAAAATATTATCTTTAAATTGATGTTTTAGCCAACTGTGGTGACATATGCTTGTAATCCCAGAACTCAAGACACTGAGGCAGGAGGATCACTGAGTTCGAAACCAGTTTGGGCTACAAAGTGAGCTCAAGGACAGCCTGAACTGCGTAGTGAAACCCTGAGAAATGACAGCAAACAAATAAATTGATGTTTTAATAAAGTTAGTTAAACTGACGGAGAGCTACATTTCCATGCAAAGCACTGACTTAGAATTTGGACTGAGAAGTGAGGTGTAACAGACTTAGTTGTTCAGATCTTTAAAAAATACTGTTAGCTGTAACCCCATCTCAGGAGTCAGGGCCATTGTGTGTGAAAGCCTGAAAGTCCAGGAATAAAAAAGTTTGGTTTCCTGGCAGCAGCCCACACACTCCACGCAGAGTACGCCAAGCAGCATGAGGTCCAATGTGATTCTGCTTTTAAATGAATTATTTCACAGCATAAATAAGTTGTTTATCATGTCACCTTTGTTAGTATTCTCTAGATTATGCCTGCTTCATAAGGAGGCATTCGGTGAATTTTGCTTCATGTGAACTAAGGGCAAAAAATGATGTAACTTCCTAACTTTTTTTTTCTTTTTTTCCATAATTTTATTGACAAACAAATAGCAATGAGAAAGTTTCAAAAAAATTTGGTAGGAAAGTTTCAATAATTAACACATTGCATACATTCTTCCTCTTCCTAACTTTTTAAATGTAAATTTTCTTAAAAACATTTACCACTAGGGTCCAGCATATGCTCAAACTATATACATGCATTTATCTAATTAAATGTGTATTTTCACAGGAGACATTGTGACTCTACATGAAAAGAAAGAAGAAGGATGGTGGTTTGGATCCCTCAAGGGAAGAAAGGGCCATTTTCCTGCTGCCTACGTGGAGGAGCTCCCTTCAAAGGCCGGCCATGCAGCTACACAGGCATAAACCAAGATTCTGACCACACTGCCTTACACACTCTGAAAACTGCACAGTGTGCCACAAAGAAAGCTAAGATGCATTATGTTTGCAAGTTTGCTTTTTCAATGGGTGGTAGCGTCCTATTTACATGTCCTGGACCTTTGTACCCATGGTAATTTGCTTGAAACAAAGTGAGATTAAAAAATGAATGGATAGAGAGAAGTAGGAAAGAGGATCTATGGTTCCAGAAGTTTATGAATGTTATGAACTCTTTGATATGAAGCAGGATAAGCCTTCACGTAACAGAGAGAGGTTCTGAATCTAGTGTGGGTTCAGCCACTTGTCCAGAATCAGTTACCTGGTAGCACAACAGCAATTCTAATGTCCTTTTCCTCTGGATGTTGGTGGTAGCAAGACAGAGTAGGCCTACAAGAGGTCAAGCAAGTCCTGAGAGGTGACAAAGAACACAGATCAAGTCCAAGATTAGTGACAGGCATGCAAGACACCAGGGAGATAGTCCCAGGAGAGGAGACAGAAAGATAAAAGCTCAAAAGCCAAGCACAAGAGTCCATGGAATGAGAAGGGGAGATGAGAGACAAGAAGCCTGGATCCGCGGCAGCGGGCCTCAGGAAGAATGGAGGTCCACCCTGAGTCAGTGCCCTTCTCAGTGGTGGCTTCTCACACAGCTCCTGCACATCGCCAGCTGCTCCTAGTGAGTTCAGGTGTAAGTTGGAGATGGCTGGGAACAGGATGGCAACAGCAACGTGAACAGAAAAAAACTAGGCGGAAGACAATGCCTGAAATTCATATTTCTTTGCCCATTTGAAAACATATTTTAGCAATGTGGATATAAGGTGTTTTGTACTTCACAAAATGATGGATGGAACACCTTATGTATCTCCCTAGTAAAAAGATTCTCTTGTCTCAGCCTCCCTAGCACTAGGATTACAGGCATGCACCACAACACCCGAAGTCCCAGGCCAGCACAGCATGCAGTACTGGGGATCAAACCCGGGTCTTTGTGCTTGCCAGGCAGATTCTTAGACCAAGGAGCTACCTCCCCAACCCCTTCCTAGTTAAAAGAACTTCAAATGCTAAACAACTGTTTTGAGCAGAAAGTCCTAGAAAGCAATATTCACTAGCAAAGTAGAATATTTATATAGCTTTCTCAAATGGCCTCTGAGCAAAGCTTGGGAATGAGTAAAGAAAGCTAGGCAGGCCCTCACGTCCCGCCAGGGGAACCCTAGGAATGGACGTATTTTAGCAGCAGCTACATTTGCCTGCACTCCACTCACTCCACTGGATGGAAGATCACAGAAACACCCAACCATGTTCACCTTTGTGCCAAATAGAAAGTCTGTGCTTGGAACTCCAGTGTGAGTGTCTTACTCTTCTCATTGCTGAGAAAAAACACCCAACACTTTTAAAGGAGAAAAGGTTTATTTAGCTCATAGTCTATAGAAGCTTTGGTCCATAATCAACTAGCTCCAAGGCAGGGTGGCATGGCAGAGGGGCATCGCAGAGGAGAAAACAGTTCATAGCAGGCAGAAGGCAGCAAAGCAAGCAAAGGGATCACCACAGCTCTTTCTATCCCTTTTATCCCAGGCTACTTACGGTGATTCTAGCGTTGCACCATGAACCAATTCTGGCAACACACACTCTAGATCCAGCCACCTCTGAAAAAGCCAGAACGATGACCTCATGAGGCTTGGGGGAACATCCAACACAGGCCATAACAGTTAGCAGTAAAGGAATAATTAAAATCTAACATATTATTCCTCTACCCCCCTTTTTTAAAAAAAATCATCAAAATTATATACTTGTAAGAAGGAATTTTTCAAACTAAGGCACATAATTTTCATACTCTGTGCCATTACACTCTTATGCAATATACAACTTGCACAATAGATATTTATAGATGCAGATATTAGACCTCAAAGGAACTTAAGTAAAATTTATTGTGTGAGACATAACAACCTAGAACAGATTTGAAGCTTTAATGTCATCACTAATGGTATATTAATGAAAACTTTCTGCATGTAGAAAGGTGGCTGAATAATAGGCCATTAGACTGTGAGCAGAGATTTTGAATTTATATTTCCTTTTCATCTTTCCATTAAGCTTTGATGGATGAAAAATTGTGTAGAAATTGATTGCAGCCTGTACCGGACTATTTTGTATAGAGTGAAGATAATGATGATTGGACCCTGAAACTCTTTGAAAGTAATTTTCTGAGAGACCTTTCTTCATGTATTGGTTGTGTTTTGAGAAAATGTAAGTGGCCGCTCTTGTTTCAGAATGTTGTTGTAAATTCTTTTTGTATCTCTGACGTTTTTTACTTCAAAGAAATCCTCTGGACTCTACCTAGATAAAATACAAGTATATTTGACATAACAGAACTATTGAATACCTTTTTAGCAGGGCAAAAGTTTTCTGGTTGGACAAATGGAATGATACCCTGTAGATTTAGGACAAAATTAAATGCATATTGGGTGAAGATTAATGATGTTCCTAAGTCTTCTACATAGAATAAAGTAATTTTTAAGGTTAATGCTTTTATACTGTTAATAAGCCTTTCATAATTATGTCACTACGCAGTGTATGGCTGGAAATTTTTAGCACCATTAATATTCTAAAATAGAGTCATAGAGGTCACTGCCTGCTTCTCACAGCACACATAGATGTCATTCTACTTTATCTCCTTGCTGATTGAGTAAAAGTTGATATATCCATTGTGCTATCAACCAGGAAGATCTACAAATTCCTTTTTTTTTTTTTT